GAGTTGTCCCTCGCGCACACATCAAAATATCGAGCAGCTGTACGTTTTCCACAGCTCGAGTTCTTCAGCCTGTACACGAACCCGAAATCCAACCCGTCGAGTCAAGCAGTGCGACGTCGAGCAGTCATAATCGAGCTTGGCACTCCACCCGTTCCGGGGACGCATTTACCCCGAAGTTGGTCGCCAAGGCACGGTGGATGTTCGTCGATTCATGGGCTTGTTCGTCGATGCTACTTCTCCGTCCGTACAACTGCAGAGGAAATCAACACTGAGCAACAGCTACAGCTTCACTGGACGCCGTGGGATGCGCCGTTGATAAAGGTGTTACGTTTTATTTGATGCAAGCTTTTTGAGCAGAATCAGAGTAGTTTCGCTTGATCGTGCACATTAAAATTATGCTTCATGGGCAAACGTCACCAGTCAAATTGACGGATATCGCCGCACGGGCGAATGGAATAATAGCACTTCCGACAACAACACACGAACACAACTGCAGATGACGTCGCAACGAAGCCCGTCGCTCAAGCAGCAGCAAAGCAGCAGAAAGTGCAAAAGCGTGGTCTGATTCGGGCGGCCATCGCCGACGCGGTAGTGAAAATCGCGAAAACTTTCGCGATTCGATCGCAATAGCTCCAAAAGCAACTGCGGCATTTCGAAGAGGCCATCGAGACAGTTTGTGGAGACTGTGAGCGCCGAGTACGGCACGAAAAGTCATTTGCAGTCACTGCCCATATTTGCCGTCGTCGCGAGTGGATTCTTTTGACGGGTGCGCGCAGTATCAGCGACAGTCCATTGTCGGCAGGTTGAAGCGACGTTCGATTCCGACACGATTGCCTTGGGGAAGTAGGCAGCTGGTGGCAACAACATCGGCATCGACCAGAACCGCCGAGAAACGACGAGCGCTCACGCTGTGACCTCGGACGCCATCTTGTACATCAGTCTGCGGGATTCATCGTGCACATCAGACACGTGAGGCAACCTGGGACACGTGAACCACTGCTGGATTCGGGACTCGATATTCACTGCGGCCACAAGTCGGACGGAGAAGAAAAGTCGTGATTCGATACTAAAAGCGGTAAGCCACTTCCATGTTCATGACTGTTATGGCATTGCTGACACGTTTTCCTTCCTCCAGCATCTGCTCCTACATACAGTCGATCGAGTGGGCCACGGCGGCTGGATACGGCCAGCCTCGGAAGACAAAAGATAAAAGCCTTCAATGCGAAGTAAGTTGCCCACTGCGTACACTGCCGACAGATGGAGGCTAACGAGTTGTTGCCTCAGGGCTTTTTGTTTTCCAGCTCGAATCGACGAAAGAATCAGCGACATAATAGTTTGACCAGCTCAGGGTACAGCGGCAACGCTGAGTGAACTCGGTCCGAAATTGAGTCGCCCCCTGGTCGGCGCTGCACCGTCAAAGGAACTCGGCTTGGACCGTACGGGCGAAACGTTGTCGTGCAAGGTGTGCGAACTGAAAGCGGACCTACATCACCAGTAAGCGGGTGACGATCTGAACCCGATCGCTTTGAGGTGGACGCCAACCGTCATCAGGCCCTCGAAGCCGGTCGCGGTGGAGCATGCACGATGCCTCCACGTCGGCACAGTCCGAAGATCGACGGTGATGAGCTGTGAACGAGAGGATGTGCGGATGTTCCGGTAGCAGTGAGTACACCAGTGAAGAGATGAAGCATTGAAGAAGAAGAAAAAAGAACTAGCTAGGCGATTCTGAAGAACAGGAGCTCAGGAGTTAGGTGTAACATGGGAGGGAAATAAAGCTTGCACTATGTTATCGTATGTTTTGTTGTGGTAGTCATTCAAGCTCTAGCCGGTACGACCAATGCTTTTGTCCCTGCAGAGGTCGTTTTGCAACAAAGGTTAGATCCATTTTTTGCTGTTGAAATTGAACTCTATTGTTCGAAGAAAGAAAAACGAAGATTTCGAAGATTATAAGTTAGTCGTGAAGTCACAATTGAGTAAGGTTTGTTCTCAATCGAAAACTTGAATAAATTGGTTTTCGTTCAGTCACTCCACACTCCAAATAGACTGTTGTTAAACTAACGAAAAGTATTCCGTTTTTGCGTAATTATTTCTCGATTGATTCGAATCATTTTGTGTGACAAACGAATTAACCACTTTATTCGAGCACTTAAAATGATGTTTACTACCACTCGAGCTTTGAAATAAAACATTATTTTGAGATTTTTTCTTCTAGAACCTCGAGAAAAGTAGTCAACATTTGTGCGTTTCATAAAAAAATATAATTTATTTGGTCCAGTTTTGAGAAATCGCTGGTAGAAAGTCACGCCAAAACTGCTTGACAAAGTGGGTGGCATTTAGCCGAGACACTTTTATTGGCGGCTTGAAAGTGTGTAGATGAATTTGAGGTTGTCGGTGATTGAATTATCATCGGGGATTAGTGAGTTTTGAGAGTCACTTGTTGGTCGATTCAAATTATTAGCATTTTTTGTTCTGGAAATATAGAAAACTTGCCCTGAGTGAAAGAAATCTCATACCGGGATTAAATCACAGCTGACGGTCCTTCTGAGTGAAGGACTGATCGGTCTTCTATTCTGTTTTCCTACCACAGTTCATCACAACACCCTTTCAGCGAGACAGGACCCAATGGATCAATGAAAATGCTGAGGTTTTGACAGAACTATGCTGTGGCTACCACAGTATTTTATATATGATCGTCCATTTACAGTAGCGCCAAAAGAATGCTGTGGTGGGTTCAAAACTTGATCATTTAAAATGATCAATTATGTTTATAAAAATATCGATTTCAAACTAATCCTACTAACACAAATTTATACATTTTTCAGTTACACGAAGTTGACGTTTTCGTGCTCCAACTTATTGAAGAATTACAAAGATGCAATTTTGAAAAAAAATTACATCATTAGAAATGGCCGAATTTTTACAAAAAAAAATTATGATTACCCATAACATACAATTATGTAAAGTTTTATGCAAATCGAAGAAGGTCGAGTTTTTCCTATTCGTCATTTGGCGTGGAACTGCTCAGTCTTGAAGATTCTTCAATCAATCAAATCTCAAAAATTGGTTGCGAATCTCAATTAATTCAAGTTAAAAATGTCAAAAACAATTTCAAACTCCATTCCTTGCGTTTGCATTTTTTTTGTGCATTGCATGTGTAAATCCAAGTAGTGTTCACAGACTTCGAAAAATTTCTATGATCGCGTACATAAAATAAATCAAGCTGAACATTGCATTAGGTCCTAAGTAACATTGATCGATTCTCTTCGTCGACTTTCTCTTTCGTTAATAACTTGAGCACATAAACGTTTCTTGTTGTGTTTGTCGTATTAGATGCTAGATAAAAGTTTCTTTTATCGATCTGTGTGCTGAAAATATCTGGGATTGTATTTATATTGCCGTGGGGATACAAAGACAAAGTCGACGAAGAGAATCTGTCAATGTTACTTAGGACATAATGCAAAGTTCAGCTTGAAATGTTTATTCTAGTAGGTACCAATAAATTAACGCATGATTTAGAAATAAAATAATGTTGCAAGATTTATGAACATCCGAAATTAAAAATTTCCGAAATTTTTTTAAGGTACTATATTAGGGCTAGCGTTCTCCCTGTATCCCTCTTTGATGATTTTATGATTATCAATAATGACATCAATTAAAAAAGTGAAAGCCATGTACCAACCACCCCGCATCGCGATCTTGAAAAAAACAGCGGTGAAGACATGTGAAGACATTTATTCGATCTCGTTCAATCAAAATGTTCAAAACACCTCACCCCTGCCCCTTCACTAAGTTGGGCTAAAATGGGACGAAAAATTTAAATTCGCAGCGCACACGCTATTTTCTAGGTGATGACCTGATATGGAGCATGTGGAGTAGGGATCATGATAGAAGATATTGAGCTACCTTCCTACTTTCTTCGGTCGAAGACTTCAGCTCGCTAGAGCCCAAAATCTCTCATCTTGAATTTAGTTGTGAACTTTCTGGAAATTTCGAACACGTTTGTACAACGAGTAATAAATGAAAAATGTTTATCAAATCTAATTAATGCGATGCGAACTGCCTTTCAATTACACTTACCTTCACCAAGATAATACAAAGACACCACCGAGTAAAAGCCATTCCCAATGAAAGGATCGATCGAAAGTGGCTCGAACAAACAAGACAATTCAATTTATTAATCCAAATCGCATACTCCAAGCTTGCGCGTACATCCACAGTTGAATGGTTTCTTGAGGCTGGAAGCAAATCGCCCCTGCTTTTCGGACTCGGAGGCCTATGTTTATAAGAGCGAAGCGCCCATTAATCAACCACTGGTGCGATTAGTCAATAGTGAAGGTGCCAATTAATTACACACCATTCACACCAGAAGAAGTTTACGCTCGTCTTCACTTCCATCCTAAGGATTGTTGTTAAAATTTCACAACGATTGAGTTCAAGATTGAAAGTACATTTCCCCTTCTTATAATGAGTCGTGCGTCAACCGAAACGCACGTATCCACTGCTACTTAGTTGCCATAATATTATGATGGAAGCAGCCGATATCAGGCGTTAAATCAGCAACTACGCCTACTTATCAAGATACGTCCCCGTACAACAAAATGTGAACAGAGACGGAATGCTAATCCATTTCGAGGGACTTGACTGGAAGTTTTAAAGAAAACAAAGTAATTTTTCACGCCAATGCAGTCGTGCCTAATTTAGTCGCTGCTGACGCGAGACAATTTAATCACGCAATGCAATCACAATTCGATTATATGGTAGAGAAATGTTCATTTCCAGTCCCTTACGCTCATCGCTCATTGTAATAATGGAATACATTTGTTTTATTGCGTTTGAATTTCAATTTTTAATAAGTTTTCAAACCGAGACTAGCAATTTGCAGAGCGGTTTGTTTACCAACTTTGTAGCGTTCCACCAGGGGACTATTCTAACACACATACATCGCTAGCGATTCACGTTCCCCCGCAGTGACGTTCTGGTTCATGCGCAGTTGCCAATTCGTGCCTTAAACTAATGAGTAAGGAAAATTACGAGCCCTGCTAACGCTCGGCTCAGCTTCCTCTCTGCAGTTGTCATCAACTGCGTAAGCGTTAATTTTTCCTAGAGGCACAGGTCGTCCCCTCGCAGCTGTTCTGCCTACTTTTGCAGAATACTCGGGCGTGTTGCGATCTGCCTCTCCTGTTCTTGAGGAGTGTTGGGGAAATGTGAGAAGGTTTCTTTCGGTTTTGATATGAGAATCAGCTAGCACCGGTGCACAATAAACAAGGAATATATTCTCGGATGTAAACATCAAGTTCGAATGTCGGCTTATGTACAGTGGGTGAATACGTTGCAGACGCATACAATCACTTCATTTTGTTCAGTAACAGACTCTCATTCTTAAAAAAAAAGATGAAAGATTAAATTCAAATCATCCCGAATAAAAATTCACATTAGCCCAACGGTTGATTTTGATGTCTACATCAGCATCAGTATTTAAGCAAGGTAACATGGTGTATACATCAGAAATTTTGGAACAAAATGTTGCTATTCTAATGTCGTTCTGACGTCAAGAATTTCAATCTTTCGACAGAACCAAACGTTTTATGGATGTTTTCGGAATCAAACGTTGTTCGTATGTTTTTATATGTTTATGTATTCTGATGTTTTCTAATGTAGATGATTCCCGATACTAGAACCAAACGTTTTTCGGGTGTACAAAACGTTACAACTAAATGTTGTTGGGGTGTTTTCAATTGTACCTCGTGTTTGTTGTTTTCTGATGTTTTAAGATGTACAAAACGTTTAAAGTAAACCTTGTTCTAACGTTTTCAAATGTAGATGTTTTCTAATGTTTTTCTCTCGTTTTGTACGTTAAACATAATGTCGGACAAAATGCGCTGTATAGCACATCATAGTGCGTATTTGTACAGCGCATTATGTCCGACGTTATGAAAGTAAAATCGATTGTCACGTGTGGAGTTTTACGATTTTCAACTGGAACGATAATACAAAACATTATAATTAGAAACATGATCGTGTAAACACTACACACCATTGTTGTTAGATAACATCATAAAATGCGTACATAATAGTCATTGCTTAAGCTCCCGTTTCCCACCAGTCAGTTAACTAACCTTAGCTAACCTAATATCATTGCGGCAGGGGAACTATGCCATTAGCGCGCTAAGAGTTATTAAACCACTGACATAGGCGCCGATTTGTTACATTACAGCTAGCTTGGCGATTGTTGCAGCATTTTTGAGCAATCTACCAGACAATTGTGTAAAGTGTTTACAAGGCCAAGTTTTCAAATCTAATGCTTTTTCAAATTAACAGCATAAACAAGACGTTTTTTTATAATCTATTTTTATTGATTATCTGACAGCCAGGCGAGTTTATTTGTTTACCGTCTTGCAGCGTGCATTTGCCACTTTTTCGTTTAGTTTATTTGACACCCGGGACGGGATCTTCCGTTTTGCCCCCAGATCTCCCTCTAGATTGACCCGCTGTGATAATTTTTCTATGATAAAGGAAACGTTTGACGGGGTTGCTTGCTTCTTTGTTCCACTGTTTGGATACAGGTTACAGGTCTTCCTTTTCACTGATCGCTCCTGAAGTTCCTGCCTGTTCCACAGGTGATCTGCTAATGCCGAAATGAACCGCCCGTCCCCTTCCGATCCTGCGGCGCTTTCTACATGTGTTCTTAATACAAGGTCTGGGGTTAACTAATCTTCTACCTTATTGATGAACTGCAAATATATAATAAACAACATTACCAATAAGTTGTGCATAAAAAATGAAGCAAATGAAATAAATTTAAATAAATTTGGTTGAGAAAGGCATTTCCCATCCTGTAATACTGAACAATATTTTGAGTATAGGGTTTAGACCCACACTGCACCATAATAAGTGAAAATTATTATAAACCTTTTCATCTTATACGTTTGTAAGCTTGGATAAAGTTTTTTACAACTATTCGTTTATTTGTTAGGCTCAAATGTCGTTAAACTTTACGGAGCCGAGGTCTATCAAAATACAATAAATCATAGTTAAAGTACATTATTTTTGTTTTTCTTATTTTCAATTTGCTCTAAATAGATGGCATCAATCCTCTTCTTGCTTTCCTCGATCAATGCACACCGTTCTTCAGGATCGTCAATATGCGAAAGAACTGGGCGCTGCGTATATGGACAAATATCACTACTCACAGAAATCAGGCTGCTATCACTTTCGCTTGAGTCTCCTTTGGTTTGTTTTTTCCATCGATCTTGTTTTCCGTGCTGAGCACCAATGCTACCGACGTGCCAGGAAGGCAGCTCCCACACCTGGACCCTACCTATCGACCCATCAACTCATGAACCGGGGACCAACGGCTTTACTTCCCATCCGAAGGAAGGCGTGATCAGAGATGTTATGCCTCAGAACATCCCGGCGGCGCCGACTGGGATTGAACCCAGGCCTGCTGGGGTGAGAGGTAATCACGCTTACCACTACACCACCGGCGCCGTTACTTTCGCTTGAGTCATTCGTGTTCAATTTTTTTTTGTTTCATTGTTTGTGGTGTCCTAGTCGACTGCTGGCTGGCGTTTCATTTCAGTTTTGTTGTTTTGCTGTTGGTCTGCATTTGGTATCGATTTCGGGAGGGAGGACCACTGCTTACTGTTGGCTGCGTTTGATGGGAGTTTGTGTGCGTTGTTGTTGTTCTTGTTCTTGCTGTTAACGTAGTTGTTGTTGGTGCTACTACTGAGAGTATTGTCTTTGTTTGCCGCTGCTGTTGCTGCTTTTGCTGCTGCTGCTGCTGCAGATACGTCGGAGCAGCGTTCCTTTGGGTGAGATTTGCGCTCACAATTGCGACATGTTTTCACTTGGTTTGGGTATGATAACAGTGTAATTTCGCCATCTACGGTAATAAATGAAGGGATGGGAAGAATAAGTCTCATTTTTAAAACACGCACTCCATTGCTGAAGCCTGAAAAATAACTCTTCCAAACCTTACTGCGAATTGCTATCACCTCTCCACACTGGCGCATATGGTCGATGATAGCCACATTCTCCATGTCATCTGGGAGATCATGCAAACGTACGTCTTCAGCGCTGCTTTCGACATAAATTGGAATAGCGATCTTTTTTCCCTCATACTCCATGAAATGCTTCAGTTGATGAGCTGAAGCGATTCTTCTTGCTACTTCGTGACTTTGCATACCCAGGTATACAACGTTTTTCACATTGTGTGGCTGGATGCATTTCACTTGAGACATCAAAATTCAGTTCACTTTCTAGAAATCGTTTAATTTCCGAAATATACGGACGGTTAGGCAGAATGGATGTATCCAAAACGACAAAGTTTTCTTGCAAAACCCGCATGGCTATGGGTAACAAAACTCACGCGCGTCACACAAAAGAAATCCGAGAATGTTATAATATGTCTGATCGGTTAAGGAGATGGATAGCAACTGACCCTTGGATAAAGTTATAAGGTTGGATTAAAGGTGAATATGTCGGAGATAAAGTATTTGTTAGCTTTAGATTTTATGTTAATTTGTGACCCATCCTGTGTCTCCTCAGGCTTAATGAAACTCATTCTGCCCGAAAACATATTTTCTGGAATTATGAATTTATTAGACGTTATGACAATATTTTGTATTTGAAAGTTACAAGACGACGTTGCAAAGGGTGAGTTTGACGTATAAAACCTGATTTTAAAACCTACTTTTATTGATCTGTGTGCTGAAAATACCTGGGAACGTCTTTACGTGGCCATGGGGATACAAAGAGAAACTCAACGAAGGCTTGCAGAATCATAGCTGTAAAGTCTTCACTTACCGTATGCGTGATAATGTTTGCACCATCCTACAAATAAGGTCCCGGTTTCACCTGTGCATACAATGCCTTGGTTTTCTTTGCATGCACGTAACCTATAGCTCATACCATAGTAGGCTGTGTATAAAAGAAAATGATTTACTTAGTTTGGCAGTTGCACCATGACGAAGTGGCAGCGACTTCGTGATTTGTCCCACGCGCAAATGCCACAAAAAGACATTTCAATCGCCGTGGGAGTGTCCCGGTGGACCGTCAAAAGTGTTTTAGACCGAGGAAAGAAAGGACAACTATCAGCGAAGGTGGCCACAGGTCGTCCGAGGTCAGTTCGGGTTCCGAGGGTTATCGCTGCTATCAAAAGGAAGATTCGGGTGAATCCAGTGCGTTCAATAAGGAAAATGGCAAAGGAACACGGGATCAGTGACTTTACGGCACGGAAGATCGTAAAGGAAGATTACGGGGCGAAGTCGAGGGCACGGAAAAAACCTCACATGATCACCAACCTACGAGTCGAACGATGCAAGAAAATCTTGAGCTTCCTTAAGCGTAAAAATCCGATAATCCTGTTCACCGACGAGAGCATGTTTACCGTCGATCCCGTATCAAATTCCAGAACCGACCGGTATATTATTTCTCTTCCGATAAAAGACGTGGCCGACGAGCACAAAAACGTGTATCTGACCAAGCATCCTGCTAGCGTTATGGTGTTTGGATTGGTGGCTTCCAACGGCAAAAAAATGGACCCGGTGTGCATTCCAGAAGGCGACAAGGTCAACACGGAGGTCTACATCGGGATTTTAAGTAAATATGTTCTTCCGTGGATCAAAGAACAGTACGGTCCGAAGCCAAGTATTGTATTTCAACAAGATGGGGCTCCGTGCCACACCTTCGAACCGCACTCAGAAGTGGTTGCAGGAACATCTTCCGTTCTGGGCGGAGAATATGTGGCTGCCATCCAGCCCCGATTTTAATCCCCTGGATTACTCAATATGGCGCGTCATGAAGGCCAAGACCTGTTCTAAACGCCACCCGAGTACAGCAAGCCTCAGACAAACATTGACCCGTACCTGGATCCAGACTACATTTTTAGAACCTGCCGTGCATTCCGGAAGCGTGTGGAAGCCGTAATTGCAGCAAGTGGAAACTCGATCGACGATTAACATAGTTCCTGAAACATCCCCCTTTTGAATAAATAAAAAAAAACTCGAGAACGAAATTTTTGAGAATTTTTTAAATTTTGAATTGCTCAATGGTGCAAACATTATCACGCGTACGGTAAATCTCCTTTAAACAGGTTTAGTTGAGCAGCATTGCCAATAGGTAGCTAGCCACACGAAAGGCAGTTACACAAACGTTCGGAATTACTAACAAAAGGAT